TCATTCAGCAAATACAGCCTGATGTTAGGCACTATAAAAGGCTAAGAAAAATGATTCTCTCTCTCTCTCTCTCCCTCTTTCTTTCTCTCTCTCTCTTATAAACTAATTAAATTTAGAGATTTAGAAGACAACAAACCTGGAGAGGACATGAACCTTTTAAATAATGACCTTCCCTTGCTTTGGGTATTCTGGTTTTAAATATCTTCAGTACAACTTTAAACAGATCCAAATTAGACATTTTCCTCCTTTAAAAAAGCAATTCAAAGACCTAGGCTTTGGTGGTACACTGAAAGTTAATACTTTATTCTTTAAAATCCTTAATTGCAAATTTTTAAATCCTATTAATATTTTGCCTCTTAATCTCAGAAATATAAACAAATTTGGGATACGGGTATCTAATGTAGTGTTACTTATTACATGTGGTTAGTCATAGTTGTACGTTTCCTTCTGACATTCCACAAAGAAACACTAAAGAAGGACCAGGGCAATCAAAGAAATGACTGATGACATCACAAAATATCGCATTTCATTTGATGATCTGATTACATCTTTGTTTAGAGTGATCAGAAAGTCACAGTCTCATGCCACCCTCCACACCCATACACCTTGTATGACAATGAATCCAACTGCTTTCCCCAAAAAACACCGCACTTAAAGTTATCTCGCAGTTAAACCTGATCCCAAGAAGACTAACAAGCCTCAAAATTCTGTGAGCATCACTCAGTGCTAAGGTTGACTAAAGTCTATCCAGGCTTGAGAGAATGGTTCACAGCTGACTTCTCAAATCAAAAATATCCTTGAGTTTTATATAGATATGATAAGAACATTAAAGGATTGCAATAAAAACTACCAAGATTATGGTTCTTATTTTGGAGATCAAAGAAAACAGGCTGCCTTTAGAAAGGGGTGCAACGGTTTCTGATCTGCTTACAAACTGCTTGCTGCCCATCAGTGCGTAGGAGGCCTTAGTAAGAACCTACCTGCATGCTCATCTTGAGGTAGGCACTGTGAAGGCACTAACAGGCTCTGAAGCCACACAGCTCTGGTTTCAGCAGGCTCTGTGGCTCACTGCTGTGTCAACTTGGGAAAGTCACTTCATCTTGTATGAAATGTGGATTATCATAGTACTCACCTTAGAGGGTTGATTTGAAAGCAAATGAGTTTAAACACAATGACATCTGTGCTTGGTGCATATATGGCAGACAACAGTGATTCCTAGTATTATAATTATTATAGACTCACCAAGGAGGAGCTTTTCACAAATAATCAATTACCTGAAAATGTTCACAAACAGGAAAAAAAATTCCTTCCAATAATTCATGTGCAGTCGATCTTTCTTCTCTGGGAGGATTGATCTCAACCTGATGTAATGCACTTTAAAAAGTCTTGTAAAATTTTCCTGGTAAATGAGAAACAAATTCTCATCTTTTTATTCATTTGTTTATTCAACAAATACTGCATGCCAATGGTATGCAAAGCACTTTGCAAGATTTTATAGTGTATTAAAAGATAAGTCACCATCCCTATGCATAAAGAGTTTGCTGTTTAATAAAAGAGACACTATATTTGCATAAATAACTACATTAAAGAATAGAAAGTGTAAGAGGGATAAGAAAAATTGAGACAGAAGGAAGACAGATTAGTTTGAGATTGAAGAATATCCCCAAAGAAGGTATTATCTGAGATTGGCCTTGAAGGATTCTTGTGATTCAGGAACACAGAATGAGAAGGGTGTTCAGACCAAAGAAACAGCCTGAGAAGGGCGAGTATGCAGGAAAATGAGGGACTTGCCTGAAAGTACTGGTGGTGTTGAAGAAGGGCTGGGCTTGGGGTCGGTCACAGAGGGAGAGGTCCTTGAACGTCCAACATTAGGAACAGAGGCTCAAAGGCTCCCATTTTCTATTTTTACCTTCAGTTCAATCCTTGTAGCAATAAAACTTCAGTGAAGCTTTATTTACTGCTAAAAGTGTCTTTGAAAAAGCCCTCTTTTATAATATCCTTTGCGTGTTACTCTTATTATAATTAGGAAAAAGCAAAAAAATCTACTGTTTTCACAGCATGGTTTCGGTTTTTTTCATTCTAAGCAATTCACCTGGTGTTGTGTTGGAAAAAACAGCTTTTATATATTATTTATATTCCATATGCCAGTCATAGGTGGCATATCAATCTGAGGTTTGTAGTGTTAGCCACAAAACACTCCCTAAGTGAATACATGGACTGCTGCAAGGCAAGCCGGTCAGGAAGCATCTGCGGAGAAAAGCAGGCAACATGTATAAACAGAGTTAATTCAGGAATGAGAGCTGAATGGCTGGGCGAGTCTGTTTGTTTGAGTTGACAGCCTCTCCCTAACTCTTCCATTAAATACCCAACTAACCTTCAATTGCCCTCTTAGAAAGTAATCGTAGTGTAATTTAGAGCATTTCAAAATCATCAAGCAGAAAGAGATCCTGCCCTGGAAGAGGGTCTTTTGTTCAATGCTAGGAGACTAACTCCAACTACAAAATTCTACAAACGCCCTAAAGAGGGAGGTAGGATAGATTTACAAATTGCTAACTCTATTAGGATGTATAGACAATAATAGATCTATAAGAAGCTGGCACACAGCTTTAAAAATATAAGTTCCTCTGTATCTTCTGTGATCTCAGAATGCCAGAATGTTGGCAGAAATAATTTTTCTAATGATGTAAGCCATCATCTGTCAGGGAAAAAATTTCAGAGTCTTTAGAAAGCTACTTTATATATAAGATCCATTCAGCAATAAAGCTTATGTTCATGTTTTCTCTGATTTTCCACCTGTTGTAAATTCATTTTATAAGAAATCCTTTTACCAGTCTCTCTACCCCATTTCTCAAAGTGTTCTCCTCAAATTACTTGCATCACCTAAGGATTCTGAGGCCTCTTCTGATCTAGTAAACGAGACTTTTTTATAGAGAGTGTCCTAGAATTTTACAAAGAAGAATCCTTTTTATTATTGTGATCACCAAGGTTACTTCTGCCTAGATTCTTCTTATGTTATTTTTTCAGCTCCTATCTTCCCAGACAACATAATCATTCAAAGATAAAACTGATGCTTGATTTAGATGTTCATAGCAAGCACCTTGACACATTGATGATGTCACCCAGAGTCAAAAACTTAATGCAATGCCTTCACCAAGTTACAAATGGGCAGGAATCAACTGCGGTTGAACTTATTCAGAGGGTAATTACTACAAACCAAACTTCTTTAAATATCCTACTGCTATGTACTTTTCTTCCTTCTAAAATGTATCATTTCTCTCCCTGTTCCATTTTGTTTGCCTCTTTTTTGGGGCTGGGAATCCCCCGCCTCCATACTGAGTGGTAGAGCTGGCTGTGGGTGACGAAAGAGAAATTATTATAATAAAGTCATCCTTTTGAAAACATGTCTTCCAAATGAGTTTCATTTCTGGCATATAAACTGCACACCACCTCAGTCCATTTAGGCTTTCTTTATTTAAGTACCAATAAGGACATGTTTTGGATACTAGCAATTTATTTTCTAAATGCTATCTTTGATCTTAAGTTTAAGGCTATTGCCAAGTCTATATCTTTACAAGTTTTATACATTAGGCCAATAAATTATTGATTTATTTACTATGTGTTCTGTGAAAGAAATTGAAGTAAAATTTACATCACATTTATCAATCACACATGGTGGCAGTGTGATTAAGTGGGAAGAGGCTGACCCTACAAACAGAAGAGTCGGGTTTCAGTCCCAACTTATTAGTATCTGCTTGATGCCAGGGAAATTCACAAATGCCTCTGAGTCACAGGTTTCTCTTCTAATAGAAATGAAAATACTTCTTATTTCACAGATTTTCCATAAGAGTTAAAGAAGATAACAAATAATGTGCTTCCTGATGAAGCATTTATGAATTCCTGAGCATGCTAAGGAAGTTATAAACATGCTCCTTGATCCTTGAAACAGCTTTCCCTATATCTGTATGTATGTGTTTTAGTAATGACAGCTGATTTTTCTTCTCATTCCTTGAGGATTTAGATATTTTTTGTACACATTTGGTTTATCTGTCCAACATGAACTGCAGTGCCTTACCCACATTGAGTTGACACTATTTCTACAAAGCTAGTACTAGAGGATACTGCATGCCAAATGCTAGGTGTGATAGACCACAGCATCACAGTATTGTGGCAGTTGAGGAAAACTGTGCATATGGACCAAAAGCAGTGGCTCTGCTTCTCCTACCTTTGTAACCTAAACTGAGTAACAAATTTGACCTAATACTGCAACACCACCTAATTCTTCTTTCCTCCCTGATTTACCCTGGAGTCCACAATCGACAATTTTAAAATCTCCGGTTCTCTCCCAAATCCCTAGTGCCTCCTCCTTATACCTTACAAGCAAAGACCTGAAGAGTTAAGATCTATAATGCCAGAATGGAGCCTAGAGAACCATGAGCAATTAACTACCAAAACTTACCCAGCATTTTATGTGTTTAAGCTTCATAGCCTTATGAGTAACAGATCAATACTTTTGTTTTACAGGTTAGAAAACTGAGGCTCAGATTGATTCAGTAACTTTGCCAAGCTTGCCAATTTGTGAGCAGTAGCATAGGCTTATATCCAGGACTGAGACGGGGTTTTCTCTGTCACCACTCAAAGCTTCCCTGAATATCCCATCTCTGCTCTGCTACTCCTTCTATGGTTTTAGCAAGATGTCTTCTACTCCAGAGACCTACCATAGCATAGTAGAATTATTGAGGTTGATTTTTTAAAAATATGAGTGGCTATATCCCCTCTAGATTTTTATTGCGAAATCAAAATTTTTGAAGACAGCCTCTGGCACCCATAATTTTTTTAATTCAGCAAATGATTCTGTTGCACGTGAAAGCTGAGAACCACCAATTTAAATCATGATATTAGTCCTATGAAAAAAAATTCTATTGCTTTAACATTTAATCAAGGACATATTCTTATTATAAAAGATATTATTAACACATAGTTTCTCTCTTGTTGTATAACAGGTGGATGAGGTATTTATAAATTCTGCCTTGAAGAAGCACTATATCAAGAACCAAGTAGTCAGACTGACGTATGTATGTTTGGGTAAAGGTGGAATCACAAGACTGGAAGGAAAAGGAACACAGGGGACAGGGACCCTCATGTATTGCGTGTCTCTATGGACTAGGCTTTTGGCTAGAATTTTTCATAAACACTATATTTAAAGCAGTCTTGAAATATAGGGCTGACCACCATTTTGTCAACAAAAAGACTAAGATTCAGGGAGGGTAAGTAATGTGTTCAAACTTCCCCAACTGACAGTTTCCCAAGTGACAGAACCAGGACTCAAACCCCATCAACTTATCGTAAGGCCTGGAACCTACCAGAACTCGTGGCCTTGGGAAAACCCGGCAGTTCATCATTGCATGCACCAAACTGTATTCTTTTGACAACTATGTCATTTCAAACATGTTAAGAAGGAAAACTTGGCTACAAAATGGGATCACAAATTTTACCTCTAATGCAGCCTAATGACATGAGGCATGCCTAAACGAAAAGATATTCCTGTTGTAGTAAATTTTCTTTTGTTGTGGTGGAAGGGGAAAGACTCATATCAGTTGCAGTATTGCTCAGAAGTTTCAAATGTGCTATTTTGAAAATTACACAGCAGAACATATACATCATATACACAAATCCATGAGCCTGTATGACTCATATTTCTTAAAGATAAAGAAAAATAATATATTCAGAGTTTGATTTATTTAAAGAAAATAATAATCAGTTTCTTACCAATAGAATAATAATGATTTGTTGGCAGATGTACTCCAAGTTATTTGTCTTTACTGAGAAGTGACAGAACCAGAACTCAAACGCCATCAACTGAGGCATGCCTCATGTCATTAGGATTTTATAACATTGGCTAATTTCTACAACACTTAGGAGATAAAAAGCACAGAAATGCTAGAAGTTTCTGGATTTCATGTTTTCTGTTTTCAAATTCTGATTTGCTATATTATTGTAGCAACATTATCATATGCTTATGAACTCCTTGGGAGGGTGGCCATCATCACTATATAACACTTGGTAAAAATGTTAATTCCTTTGGGAGGCCAAGGCAGGTTGATCACGAGGTCAAGAGATCGAGACCATCCTGTTCAACAAGGTGAAACCCCGTCTTTACTAAAAATACAAAAAAAAAAAAAAATTAGCTGGGCATGGTGGTGCGTGACTGTAGTCCCAGCTACTCGGGAGGCTGAGGCAGGAGAATTGCCTGAACCCAGGAGGCGGAGGTTGCGGTGAGCTGAGATCGTGCCATTGCACTCCAACCTGGGTAACAAGAGCGAAACTCCGTTTCAAAAAAAATGTTAATTCCTCAGATTAAAGAAGTAAAATTACTCAGTCACCTTTCTGACAATTTGACATAAAATTTGAGTTATTTAGATCTTTATATTCCAGAGCTTAAATGAACGAAAATATATAAATTGTCTCAGAATTGAAATAATTTCTTCCTTCTAGCCGAAATATTCAGGAAGATGGGCCTCTAGTGTTTTCTACAACTTTAAGGAAAATAGGAGAGATAACAGATAAACATGTATTCGTTTCAGGTTTTTTTTTTTTAAACTGTAGTTGGTTTTCTGTTTTAAGAGTATTTAAAAGTTCAGCCAAAAGATTCAGGAAGATGGCCCTCTAGTGTTTTTTACACCTTTTTATTTTTTTGCTCCAGAAAAAGTATAGGAGAGATAGCAGATTAATATGCATTAGTTTCAGTTGTTGTTGTTGTTGTTTTAAATCTGTAGTTGGTTTTCCTATTTTAAGAGTATTTAAGGGTTCAGTTCCTCAGGTAACAGAACTTGAACCTGTTTATATGATAAAAGTTGAAGAAACTGGGCATGTTTAATTTGGAGAATACACAGGGACCACAATATTGTTGTCTTCAAATATTTGGTGTAGAAAAGGAAATTATTTTATGCGTGTTCCTACTGGTATACCTAAGTCTTATGAATGGGAGATAAAGGAAGACATATTTTAACTCAAAATGACGAACTCTTAAAAACAGAGCTGACCAAAGAGAAATAAGACTCTTTAGAAATTTTAACTTACTATTTTTTTAATTACTGCACTGTCATTAGAGGGTTAACTGTCATGGACCCTGCAGAGGTGATTCAAGAGCTAGAAGAGGGAACATATGAAATGACCATGGGTTAGAATGACATGAGAGGATCAGCACTTGACACTGTCAGCAACTGAGGCATCATTCAGGGGAGGAAGATACAGCAAAGACTGAAGGACAGTTGCAGATGTATTCCGTGAAAATGTACCTTTCTTTTGTGTGTCATAGTCCAGAGGAAGATGGTGTGAAAGCAGATATCATTATGGTATTCCAGTTTCCTTCTACTGAGCAAAGAGCAGTAAAAGAGAATAAAATCCAAAGCATCTTAAACCAGAAGATAAGAAATTTAAGAGCCTTGCCAATAAATGTCTCATCAGTTCACGTTAACGGTAAGGATGTCCCCTTCTATGTGATATGAAGTTCTATCAGGTCCATATTTTTTATTTTAGACGGAGTTTCGCTGTTGTTACCCAGACTGGGGTGCAATGGCACAATCTCAGCTCACCGCAACCTCAGCCTCCTGGGTTCAAGCAATTCTTCTGCCTCTGCCTCCCAAGTAACTGGGACTACAGGCATGCACCACCATGCCCAGCTAATTTTTGTATTTTTTTTGGTAGAGACGGGGTTTCATCTTGTTGACCAGGATGGTCTCGATCTCTCGACCTCGTGATCCACCCGCCTTGGCCTCCCAAAGTGCTGGGATTATAGGCGTGAGCCACCGCGCCCGGCCAGGTCCATGTTTTGACTAATCTCCAACTTATTTGTCATTATTTCCATTCCAAATAATAGCTAGAATTCAGATGAAAAAATTCAAGTTAAAGAAGTGACATTTCAAGGTTTATTAGTCTCTGATATAAACATGTCTGAGGTTAGTCATCCAGTGGTTTTCCCAACAGTAATTGATTGGCACTCATCCCAAAATAAAGGCAAACATTTGCAACTAACAGAGGGTTAATCTCACCTAGCCACTGCCTCCATGACTAAGCAAGTGAAAATACTAAGGGTTTAGCAATAATTGTTTTTCTGGGTGGGAGCTTCCTAGAACATAAATTCATTTGTTGACTTATTTAATTGATAGTTTCTATATATAGTGATAGAAAAGTTTTGTTAGCTTTTTTTCCTATGGGCATTTAGGAAAATGGCAAGCCAACTTTGAAGCTGTTAGAGTCATTTTACTATTAATGCTTTAAAAATCACAGTCTACAAAAATATCACTGAAACTATGTATATATTGTTCCACTTTTCTTGTTTTTTTTTTTGTTGTTGTTGTTGTTCACCCTTAGCTCATTATACCATTATCACGTCTCTAAATTAAGGAGAAAGAACCTTTATCTAACTCTATCCCTATGGCCTTTACCTGAAGTAACCAATTTCTTTTTATATTCCAGTGAAGTACCAAGTTCACCTTTATAGAAGTGAAATTCATGCAAAAAGAGTTGAGGAATTCAGTAATTACACGGAGCTAAGATTCAAATTTAGAAATCTGATTTCTTTAAAGGCTCCAATTAAAAAAGGTTTCTATAGTCTAACATATCTTAGAAATTCTGTCTATAATATTCATTTCTTGGAAATTCATCCTTATAGTATTATATTAAAAATTATGAGGCATCAGCTAGAGAAAAACTTGTTTACCCTCATACACTAAGCTGTTTTCACAGCATCTTCTTCCAACAGACAAGTACAGATTTTCCCTTCAAATTTCAATGGATGCCAGACCTAAGAGAGTTACAGAAAGGAGTTGGGACAAGCGATTGTTATCAGACACGAAACAGAACACTCTGCCCTGGTAAAGGTCTAGCTGACTCTTCAAGAGGAACCCAGATCAGGAAGTGAAAATGTGAGGTAATGGAATGGGCAGATGTTTGCTGATGGGACGAGTCAGCTCCTAAGGGAATAAAGCTGAGGACCTCTCCCAGCCAGGAGGGAGGAACCTGACAAGTACTTAATCCATCTTCTTTGTTAGATAGGCAAGCAAATGAATAGAAGTTGTGAAACAATGGACATTCTGATAACTTACATGATGTGTTCTGTGTAATTTCCAACAAATAGTTAATTTGTCAGGAATGTAAAAGCCTGAGCTATCTGAAACCAGAAGTAAAGCATACATTGTTCATTGGCCACCTGACCTTTTTGGTTTTTATAGGCTTGGCTTCTGAACTTCAGCTTATTTTAATAATTGTACTAAATTAAATGTCAGGATATACTAATGGAGAACCTGATTTAAGAGTTACCTGAGGCCGGGTGCAGTGGCTCATGCCTGTAATCCCAGCACTTTGGGAGGCCGGGGTGGGCAGAACACCTGAGGTCAGGAGTTCAAGACTAGCCTGGCCAATATGGTGAAGCCCCGTCTCTACTAAAAATACAAAAAAATTAGTCAGGCATGGTGGCAGGCGCCTGTAATTTCATCTACTTGGGAGCAAGACGAAGAGGAAGTTTACTGAACAATAGAATAGCTCACAGGATACCCACAGTGGGCAGCTCCTCTTCGTAGCCAGGGTGTCGCAACAAGTGTTCAGCTCCTAGCAGACAGGAAGCCCTGGAGTTAGAAGCTCCTCTCTGCAGGCAGGTTGTCCCACTGTGTTCAGCTTTCAGGAGAGAGTAGGCGCTAGAGTGGTCTAGCTCCTCTATGCAAGCAGGGAGTCCCATGGTCTCTTAGTCAACTCTTCATCTGCAGGGGCCCAGCTCCACCTTTGGCTCCTCTCTGCCCACCCCCAACCCCGTGTCCAACCGCGCTGCTGCCCCACCAGTGGTCAACTCGGCTCAGCCCGGTTACGGCAGCTCCCAGGTGGCAGGCACTGGTGGACTCCCAGAGATGAGCTCTGGGGACTGTTTACCTCCCCACCTCCCCGTGCCCTCCCTGCAGTGGCCCTGGGCAGGAATGGCAACGTGGGGTTAGGGTCTTGGAGCAGGTGAGGCTCCGAGCCTGGGAGCAGGTCCTGCCTGGTCATGTGAGGTTGGGGGCAGCCACCTGGTCATGTAAGGTTGGGGGCAGCACAGTCGGCTGCCTCGGGGATGCCGGGCACAGGGGACCCACCACCATCATTGCTGCTCCCGCAGCCACTCCTGCTACCACTACTCTGGATCACCTGTAGCTGCCATCACTAGCACTTAAGAAAGGCACATTCAGTGGACAGCTCAGGAGAATTGTTAAGGCAATTCTTACAGGCAAAAACATTGCTTCCTGGTAACACATAACTTAGGGACTTACAATAAATAGAAAACTATAGAGATTCAAGATCAAGTCTAGAAATAACCCTGTAGCCCAAGATTTATTTGTAATTTGTCAAATATCTGTATTTTGTTTTGACAAATAGCTGTGTGTTGTGGGTCCTTCAGGAGACACTGTGACAAAGCAAAGCTAAAATCAGCTTCTTCAGATTGCAAACGCCAGGGCTGTAGTAATGCAGCTCAATACCTACATGTCAAATGACTTTGTTTCATTTTTCATCTTGATACTCGTAGTCTATAGAGCCCTAAATATTAACTAGCTTTCCCCCAACTCAGAACCCTGTTGGGAGATGGTCACTTTCAAAACTAAAGTGTTAGTGTTTCTTTCCATGTTTATACCTGGAAGGTAAATATCTTTGGTCAGAATTAGAAATCTTTAACAACTAATTACTTGTATATTGACGGTTTGTTTCCAGGTATAATCATTCTCCCTAAAAATTCGATTATAAAGTTGGTGGAAAGTTTCATGAAAATTGTGATGATCCTGGTATCATTCCTGGAAATTGATAACTTGCAGCCTACTCAGACAAAGCTGACAGAGTTTTAACTTAAGAATTCTAACATTATGCTATTTTCCACTTTATTGCATTAGTAAGGACAAAATATATAGTTTTATTAAAAATGAAATAAATTTACTGCCTTAAACTACATTTGACAGAAAACTGAGTTCCTTCCATAGAGTAAGCACTAAGAGCAATTGATGGTTCTGAGGAATTGATTCTTTACCATACAATGAGTTGGGATGCCTTCAACAGTATTCTTGAATTGAATATTTTCAAAAGCTCCCACTTTGTAGACTTTATCATTACTAGTTTCTCCAGTGGACTTTATAGAAAGTTGGTAGAATGAAACATTCTCTTTTTGTATAATGGAGAATACAATGCTGAGAATGTGTCTGAGAAACATGGCACTGGTAGGAAAAAGTAAAACAGTTAATTATCTGCTCAGTAGGCTATGTCATTTTAACTGGAAAATCATCACAATTTTCATGAAACCTTCCACCAACTTTATTTTTCCCCAGATTTAGTAAGTGGAAAAGTAATAATTAAGTAAATAAAGTAAATAATTGACAAATAAAAATAAAAATATGTATAAGTTTAAATATTTGTTTCCCTAGTCATCAAATTCCTCACTTTTTTGGAAGTTGACAGAATTTAATCTTGGATTATGTCCAATAACTAGCTTTTAGCAATATTCAGTAGGTTTTGAATAAGAATACATAATAGTTTATTCTTTAAAAAAGCAATTTTATTATTTAGGAACAGTTTTAGAAAGCATTTAAAATACCATTTATGTGAGAGTTTTCAAAGGTTTTCATCCTAAACCCTTTAACCAAAAAAGGTTTTATGTGAATTTCAAAGTAAATAAAAGAGATCAAAGCAGACCCGTTCTGGCTGAGGCTGTTTGAGACCTGTAAAACAATCTACTTTCGATATGATTTGGCTGTGTTCCCACCCAAATCTCATCTCATATTGTAGCTCCCATAATTCCCACATGTTGTGGGAGGGAGCTGGTGGGAAATAATTGAATCATGGGTGTGTTTCCCCCCATACTGTTCTCATGGTAGTAAATAAGTCTCATGAGAGCTGATGGTTTATTAAGAGGCTTACCCTTTCACTTGGCTCTCATTCTCTCTCTTGCCTGCTACCATGTAAGATGTGCCTTTGCCTTCCTCCATGATTGTGAGGCCTCCCTAGCCACATGGAACTCTGAGTCCATTAAACTTCTTTTTCCTTATAAATTACCTGGTCTCAGGTATGTCTTTGTTAGTTTGTTTGAAAACAAATACAACTTGTTTCCTCTGTCCCATTTACCCATCTTCTGAAGTGGAATGCAAAGAAACTTTACCCTAAACTGCTGGAAAACCATAGTTCTCTATTAATACAAACTATCTGTAGTCTTAAATCATCCACTATTTGTGCCTTACTCATCTGTTGCTTGCAATAGTATACACCTAATTAGAGGTTGCCTATAAGTTTTTACAAAAAATGGTACACAGATGTTGGTATATCAGAAAGCCATTCTCCTAATTGATCTATTTGTTCAACTTTCTAGAATCCATTTATGGTCAGTATCCTCTGATTATTCCTCATCATTGAGACCAACCAGGAAAGTATTAAATTATCATTCTTTGTTTTGTTTTGTTTTTCAGCGATGAGCCCATCAGCAGGGGAGTCAACCGTCCAAGCAAGTAAGTTGAGTTAGCTGATATAAACAAGTTCCGTTTCCACATCAGAAAGGACGTCTTCAAATATTTGCTCATACTTGCCCATCTGTGCTCCAAATATTCTTTGAGTCATAATAACTGTTTGTACAATGAATTTAAATATTTTTTTTCTAACTCTAGGACGAATGTTTTAGTCATGTTCAACAAAAAATTTTCTGTGATAACCTTCTGGAGCAACTTGAAGAAAGTATATATTTCCGATTGGGAATACTGGACTTGTTTTTCTAATTTTTTAAAATGCCATAAAATGTACTTTCTGCTACAAAATAAAATAATGAGAAAGTAATTCATGGGGAGGAGATAAAACCCACTGTTTGTGATTCATAAATTATCTATGAAATATGCTGAGGTCAGGAGTACAAGACCAGCCTGACCAACATGGTGAAACCCCATCTCTACTACAAATACAAAAATTACCCAGGCATGGTGGTGGGCACCAGTAATCCCAGCTACTCAGGAGGCTGAGGCAGGAAAATCACTTGAACCTAGGAGGCGGAGGTTGCAGTGAGCTGAGATCACACCACCATATTCCCTCCTGGGCAACAGAGCGAGACTCTGTCTCAAAATAAAAAAATAAAAGATGCTTAATATATTTATCTTCATAGCTAACAGTGGCTTCATTAAATCACTTCAAATCACTGTGCCTATGTTTCGAAAGATTTTACAAAAGAGGTGATGAATTTGAGCAGTGATGTTCATGCATTTGCCTCTGTGTCTTGCAAACACCCTAAGTATTATTATTCATGCATTCATTCATTCAAAAAATATCTTTTAACATCTACAAAGTGCCAGAAATTAGGTCAGGAGTTGTGATACTACTATGAATAAAACATGATCCTGCCCTAAAATTGGAGTTCCAAAATAGAGAAGGATATAAATTAATTGGGAATTATCAAAATAGTGTGATAAATGCTAGACAAAGGAAGTGCACAGTGCTACTATGACAGTCAGTTGAAGAGTTAGCTAACCTGGTCTCACGGAGTAAGAAAGTGAACCCTGAAATGAGAGAGAGAAGGGGCCATAAATCCAGTGACAGGTGGGGCGAGTGTCCTTGGCAGGAGGAGTAATATACAAAAATGTCTTCAGGCAAGTGAGAATGGGGTCATTTCTTGTAATTACAAGCTGTTTCTTATAACTTAAAGATTTCATCTTTTTCAGGTTGTGGTAAACGAGTTGTTCCATTAAAAGTCAACAGAATAGCATCTGGAGACATTGCACCCAAGGCCGCCTGGCCTTGGCAAGCTTCTCTTCAGTATGATAACATCCATCAGTGTGGGGCCACCTTGATTAGTAATACATGGCTTGTCACTGCAGCACACTGCTTCCAGAAGTAAGTAATTGACCTTGAGTTAGAACTCACTTCTGCTAAAATGCCCTGAGTTTTGTCACATTCTTGGTAACAATTAATGTCCCAAATATTACTGAAGTAAAATAAGAAAAAGTTACTTCAGGATCTTTTCTAAAATAATGTTACACTTGCATACTTAATCGGAAAGTTTGATGGGAATAAAGGAAGTAACAGTCATTCATCAATCAGTTCCCCAAAGTTTTTAATAAGGAAACTCTAAGGAATCAGAACTATTTTGTGAAAACCTAAAACAAAATATTCACTAATAACATATAACATTAATCTTTTGTCAAACAATACTCTCCACTTAATACTAATGTCTGTTTCTGCCAAACACCTGGGCCAGTCTCATGCTGATCATAAATAATCAAACTAATTCCAAAGTAAAATGGAAATTTTCAGTAAGTACAGGAAGTTGGTGACGTGATGATGGAGAACCACAGATCAAATTTAAAGCATTGACATCTGAAGATCTGTGGGATTAGAACAGTTTACAACCGAAATGAGAAACTGCTAGCATGATAAAGAGGCACTTCCAAAGAGATTCCTGGGAGTATCAAAGGATTCAGAGAGGCCCTTGGGCTACTCACTATGGCCTTCGTATAATAAGACAAAAGTTGAAGTGAAGAATAGCAAATTGTGCTCTCATAAATTGCTTTCAAATGCATACATTTTATTAAATACATGATAAAATGACTTTTTAAATAACTTTTAATTTTACTTTTCAAGATTATAACCAGTTATTTTATTACATTAAAAATTTTAGAATGTTTTCTAAGTAGATTAACTGTATCACCTTTCTTCTTCATTACCAATTATTATGGTGGTAACAAAGGCTTCTTGAGTATTTCTGTATAATAGGTGGCAGCAGGATTTACTGGGAAAAAATATGTCCCAGGCAGGTGGAGAGCTGGATCAAATGTCTGTGACCCAGGGCAAGTTATTTAACCTTAGTACACTAAGGTTAGGAAATAGACTAGATCGTCTCACATCCTTTTTGGCCTATAAAATTCTAACTTTGGTTACCATAATAAAATTCATCTGCCTAAGAGCATAAATCTTTATAGAGACTCTTATTTTCTAAAGAATATACATATTAAGAATCTAGGCCAGGCATGGTGGCTCATGCCTGTAATCCCAGCGTTTTTGGAGGCCAAGGCAAGAGCACCACTTGAGCCCAGGAGTTCAAGACCAGCCAGGGCAAAATAGTGAAACCCCATTCCACATGGTGGTGCATGCCTGTCATCCCAGCTACTTTAGAGGCTCAGGCAGCAGAATTCCTTAAGCCCAGGAGTTTGAGGCTACAGCGAGCTATAATTGCAGCACTACACTCCAGCCTGGGTGACAATGCAAGACCCCATCTCCAAAAAATAATATATTTTTTAAAAAAGAATGTACATAAATTCTTAGTGTTTGAAAGACGTGAGAGCTCAATAAGATATATTAGAAAGCCAGAAATCCCCTATGCTGGTGTCTGGGTTTTCAAAGTAATGGGGAACTTACTTTGCCAAAGTTAGCCATTTTTGTGGTGGATAGTTCCGTTTTTACAAGTATCTTCACAGCATTGAACACTGAACCTGCACTCTATTAACATCCACCATTAATATTTGTTTTTTTAATCTGGAACAACAGCAACCAAGTTCATTTCTTCACTCATATAACAGTTATTATTTAGTTGCCTTTTTCAAACCAAACATGAAAGGAGAGAGAATCTTCAAACCGTAAGTGAAAATAAATATCATTACTGTGTGCCTTAGTTTGCTAAGGATAATGACCTCTGGCCCTATCCATGTTCCTGCAAAGGACATGATCTTGTTCCTTTCTTTGGCTGCATAGTATTCCACGGTGTACATAGACCACATTTTCTTTATCCAGTCTATTACTGATGGACATTTAGGTTGATTCCATGTCTTTGCTATTGTGCAAAATGCTAGAAGGAGAGGATCAGAAAAAAATAACGAATGGGTACTAGGCCTAACACCTGGGTGATGAAATAATATGTGCAACAAAACACCATAACACAAGTTTACCTGTGTAACAAACCTGCACATGTACCCCTGAACTTAAAAGTTCATATATATATGTGTGGATATATATGTGTGTGTGTATATATATATGTATAAAACTTCATTTCACAGCACCAACTTCCAGATGCCCTACCATATTGGTTTTTATTCTCTGAACATTCTAGATTTTGTCAGTGTCTCACTTAAAATATGCTTCCAATAACTAAATACACCAAGACAGATGTGTGACTAGTGTCAGACATGACAAAGTAAAGCAAGAAGACTTCTGAAAAATACAAATAATATAAATTGAGAGACAGTGTTCTCAACATAAATTGGGAGACAGTGTTCTATAAAGGAAGAGCAGAGAGAGAGGCAGGCAGACATATGATGCGAATCAGATAATTTAACCTATCAAGATTTTATTTTCCTTAAGTAAAACCACTATCTTCACTAGATGATCTTTCATTGCTACTAAATGAATTTCTGATTTCTGCATGTACTCCAATCCACCCATTGTCCAAGCCCACAAGCTAGAAGTCAACCACATTTGATCATCTCTCAGAGGACTATGAAGTCATCTGATAGTCTTTATCATATCCATTCTTGACCTTCAACAATCCACTCACCAGAAAGAACCAACATGATTTTTAAAAATGTAAATGAGACTACACCACCCTCTGTCTTAATTATCCAGTGGATTCCTGTATCACTTGAATAAAATTTAAGCACTTTACCATTACCATAAAACATTCCAAAATCTAGTCCCTGTTTACCTCCCCCAGCTCACCCCTAACCATTCTTTCCCTTGTGTTGTGACTGCAGCCCATCTGGCCCAAAACCTTGGGATTTTTGCCTGGAAACTTGTTTCCCTCATCTCCTTACACTAAATCCTCATTTACTATGGCTTAGTCCAAATGCATTCTTAAGATAGTCATAATGACCCATTAGTACCCTCTCCTGTTACCCTATTTTATTTTGTCCATAGCCTCTACCACTGTTTAAAGTTATTTATCTACTTGTTTGTTGGTTTGATCCTTTTCCTTCTCTGGAATCTCATACTCCTGTGAGCAGGCACCTTATGTCTTGTTCGTCACTTTATCCTCAGCAGTTCAGATAAGGCTCAGCACATAGATTCTCAGTAACTATTTGTTGAAGTGATAAATGAATAATATTTTATGTGCATTACAGTTCTAAAATTCAATAGTTTTATATTAAATGTCAGTTCTAATATGCTGTTTATATATATTTTATCTTTCAAAATATTAGCAATAGACTATATGTAAATATCAAAGAAAACTATAGCTTCAGCCAAGTATTCTCAGGATCATATTTGTCTAATATTAGCCTAAATGCAACTAATGTAGTTCATATACTTTGGGCAGCTTATATATATTCTGTTCATTTCTAACCTTTTCCAGGTATAAAAATCCGTATCAATGGACTGTTAGTTTTGGAACAAAAATCAACCCTCCCTTAATAAAAAGAAATGTCAAAAGATTTATTATCCATGAGAAGTATCGCTCCGCCGCAAGAGAGTATGACATTGCTGTTGTGCAGATCTCTTCCAGAGTCACCTTTTCAGATGACATACGCAGGATTTGTTTGCCAGAAGCCTCTGCATACTTCCAACCAAATTTGACTGTCTACATCACAGGATTTGGAGCACTTTACTATGGTGGTGGGTATCTCAGGATAGCTAACAGAGCACTAAGCCCTATCTAGGGCAATGTGATTTCATCCCCATCAATATTATCCTGACAGCCATTTCCACACGGTCTGGATGGATTAATTAGGGTTCTTATTTTGCAAGTGACAGAAATTCGATTCAAATTATCCAATGCAGAATAAAACACAAAGAAACAAAAAACTTCAACAAATTTGGCTCATGTAATTTGGAGGTCAAAAAAGTGTAGTAAGTTTCACTTCGGACACAGGAGTTCATATGATGTCGTCTGGCTGGGATTACGGGCATGTGCCTTGTAATTCAGAGATGCATCTCTGAATCTGAATTTTTTGGCCCTGCTTTTCTCTATGTTGGCTTCCTTCAGAAGGATGCTAGCTTCACCTAGTGTCAGAGGTGGCTAACAACACCTCAACCCTTACATCATCCTCAACCAAGGAAAAATACATAGAAAGGAACATTTATTTCTTTTCTTTGCCAAAATTCACATTAATTTCTATTGTTACAGTTTGTGTCTAGGAGTACTCAGATTGACCGGCTACTCAAATACTCTTTAGGTGCATGTAGCAAAATTTGCTTCTAAAGAGGCTAATTTAAGTGTGATGGTGAATAAGAATAGTGTAGAGATAAATTGTCAAATTATTTGCCCTCTATGAAAGGATTCAACTTGATATACAAACTTAATCTTGTAAGAAATAATAATGATGGCTGGGTGTGGTGGCTCATGCCTGTAATCCCAGCACTTTGGGAGGCTGAGGTGGGCAGATCACAAGGTCAGGAGTTCGAGACCAGCCTGGCCAACATGGTGAAACTCCATCTCTACTAAAAATACAAAAATTAGCTGGGCATCGAGGCACATGCCTGTAATCCCAGCTACTTGGGGGAGGCTGAGGCAAGAGAATTGCTTGAACCGGGACCGTGGCAGTGAGCCAAGATTGCATCACTGCACTCCAGCCTGGGCTACAGAGTGAGGCTCTCAAAAAACAAAAACAAAAAAAATGAATAGAAATAATAATGATTTGGCTATTGAACGTTTAGGCATTCTTAGTGAAACATGCTCTAGATTCTACCATGTGATGCAGGCACATATGTATAACAATAGTTAGAGAGTTTCTTTAACCCTAGGCTTGAGAAAAAGGAAAAGGGTTTTCTGAGAATGAGTAAATCTATTTGCAGGATTCTATAAATTTATTTATATACAAGAAGTTATAAAGAATAAGCTTTTCATTCTTAGTCTCCCTTTAGTGAACTAGGAATAATCTTTCACTCACTTAGACATAAATAGGTTTTAGGGTTTCTAGATTTTCTCCAGTTGTCCCATGTGGTTTTGTTTCATCTTATACAGACTGAGACATGAATTTCTTTCTTTAAGGTCATATTATCAATTGCAGAAACTATTGCTATAGTTTATTATTTCCAGTAGATTAGTGCTGCTGTGCGTCTGACACCTCCCTAGGTCTGCACTCTCTTGGATGGATTTTCTCTGAAGACAAGGCTTGCATTCTTTGCTTCATAATAATGGGAAAAACATCACAAATCCTCCTTGGCTAGGTGGGAAAAATCATTTTCTTTCAGGAGTTTGAGGTTGGTACAGAAACAGACCTGTCATAATGCTTTGTGAGTGGCAACAGAATCTGACACAGAGCACTCCATTCAATCTATTAAATAGATTAATTTAACCTATCATTCATAATCTATTAAGTACATTAATAGATTAAAAGTACCTCTCAGTCACTTACCAAAAGAGGCCATCTTCAAGTCTGTAAAAAAAAACGTTAAGAAACTTTTAAAAATGGAAATTGTACAAAGTATATTCTCTGATCATAATGGAATCTAACTAGACATCAGTAACAGAAAGATAACATAATAATCCCAAATCCTTAGAAATTAAATAACATAGGTAAATAAAGAGAAAAACCTCAAAAATATTTGTAAAAACACATAAAACTAAATGAAAACAAAAATATATAAATATATGCCAGATGCAGCTAAAACAGTGTACAAGAGAAAATCATATAAAATGCATATTATAAGAAAAGATCTCAAGTCAATAATTAAGTTCTCACTTCAAAAAACTAGAAAAAGAGAAAAATAAACCGAAAACAAACATAAGGAAGGAAATAGTAAGGATAATAGAAATCATTAAAATTAAAAATAAGAAACAATAAAGAATTAATAAATAAAAAGTTGATTATTTGATAAAATCAATATTTTGCCAGAAATGTCATTAAGCATTACTACAAAAGATGAGGTGTAGTTTAGGGATGTACAGATTTTATGGGCTATGCTTTCCATAACTTGGAATACATTTTACCAACTAGTTTGCTGAAAAGTGGATATGCACTGTCACCTGCTTACAATATGTAGATTGTCAATTTCACCTTACTCTTCTCAGCATTGGACATGAATTTTTTAAATTGATAACATAGTAGGCTATATATATGTGTGTGTGTGTGTGTGTGTGTGTGTGTGTGTATCTATATATGTATATATAAACCAATTATATTCAAAGAACAGAATAATTCAAAAAAATCCCTTAGCATATTTCTGAGTTTCACACTTAAATCTTCTGAGCACTATAAAAAATCTGTTTACAAACATATCTTCAGAAATAAATATTGGATATGGTCTACTAAAGAAATCGGTGTTCATGTTAGGGATTTTTCAAGTGTACTTATTAATTTTTTTAAGTTGATATATAAAATAGCATTACCGTGTACAACACGATGTTTTGAAGTATATATATATATATATATATATACTGTGAGTGTTAAATCTAGCTAATTAACAAATGTCTTATATTACACAATTATCACTTTTGTGGCAAGAACACTTAGTATCTACTCTCCTAGCATTTTTCAAGAATCATCAGTAGGTTACCAGAAGCTGGAAGTCTTTACAGGGCGGGGGACTGGGGAGATGCCAGCCAACAAATTCGTATTTGCAGTTAGACAGGCGGAATAAGTTCAAGAGATCTATTTACATCATGGGGACTATAGCTGATGATATATTGTATTCTTGTGTTAGTTTTTCTCACCATGTAACAAATTACCACAAACAGTTTAAAACAGCACTCATTTATTTTTATCTCACTGTTTTCATGAGTCAGAAGTTCAGACACAGCTTAGTTGGGTCCTCCCCTGAAAGTCTAACCAAATTGCAATCAAAATGTCAGCTGGGGTTGTGGTCACATCTGTGGCTCCTTTGAGAGTTTCCTGAAAGTTTGTTGGCAGAATTCCATTACTTGCAGCTGTAGAACTCATGACAGCTTGCTGCTTTAACTCTTTAGGAAAATACCTCCGAAATCCAGGAAGGCTCATCCTTTTTGAAATGGCTCAGCTAATTAGATCAGGCCCACCTTTGATAATCTCCTTTTGATTAATTCAAAGTCAAACTCATTAGAGGTCTTAATTGCATCTGTAAAATTCCCTCACCTTTGCCCTATAACATAACCTAATCATGAGAATCGCATCCATCACATCTGCAAATCCTGCTCATACTTGGGAAGAAAGGAATCACACAGGAATCTGGGGGACCATCCTAGAATTCTGCCAACCATGGGGTCATGGTTTTAAAACCAATATATGGTTTGGTATAAAGCATCCCTGAATGCTTGTGCTATTCTTAGTTTTCTATGTAGTCTGCCATAATACTAGTTTCTAAAACTCAGAATGTAGCTTACAGTCTGCAGCCACCAACTTGTAATACATTAGAAGTGAAATCATTGCTATTTAATTCATTTTATATACATGTATGATATATGACACATTTCACATATTTTTATATACGTGAAAGCTCATCATAAACTTTAAATAATAAAATAAATGTGCATAGTATTATAGGCATTTTATCAAGCCAATGAAGAAAACTATCTAGGCATGAAAAGCTTCTGAGAACAATCTGGAACCCATAAATATAAGCTTTACAAAAGATGGAATGCCTTCCTGAAATATATAAGCTGATTATTTTTAAGGTTAGATTTTTCCAGAAAAAGAAGCCAAATGGCTTTCTTGCTTTGAGAAGTCTTTATAAATATGTGTTTGGACAATAATTATCACTGGATGTTCCAGAAATTATTTTCTCTAGAAACTGCTTATATTAACCTCATTCCGTGTTAACAATTTTACTATGAAAAAAAAATTAGGAAAAATCTGCTCACTTCACTTTGGCCAAAGATGCTGATTGTAAATATTAAAATAACTTTATTTTTTCTTAAGGGCAATCCCAAAATGATCTTCGAGAAGCCAAAGTGAAAATCATAGGTGATGATGTCTGTAAGCAACCACAGGTGTATGGCAATGATATAAAACCGGGAATGTTCTGCGCTGGATACATGGAAGGAATTTATGATGCCTGCAGGGTAGGCTGGAATGGAGGATTTTTTATATCATTAACGTAAAAATTTTTATTTGGCTCAGGAAATATTATATGTTCTTTACATAGGGACAAAATATAGACAACATGTCAGCTCAAAAAAGTTATAAATGCAAATTTCACAACACAAAGTATTTTTAAATGTTTTCTTAAGGTAAATGAAATAAGAGTTTCTCTGATGCTATCAAACAAATAAAATCAGAATTTCTTAACCTGGAATCCAAAGACTAATAAAGCAGTTTATTTTCTCAAGGTGCTCACATTCAAGAAAGAAAATAATCGTAAACAAAGAAGTATAAAGTGATGTTATAAATACTATAATGAAAAGCAAATATTTTTCTTGAGAGAAACATTTTTGGAGTGAATATCAGAGAGATGAGATGTAAATGAGGCCTGAGGAATAAATTTCAGAATAAGAAAACACTGTTATAGGAAAGAAAAAAAAAACACAGCCAAAATTATGAAGGTATGAAATTACAATTCACATCTGAGGGAACTCCAAGTAATCTGTTGGGTTTCAGCATGAGGAAATGAGAGGAAAAACAAGTTCATAACCATGAGAAGGTGGATTAGGCCGTGCTGTGAATCCATGGGCCCTCTCCAGTGGCCTCCTCTGCCTTCTTTGAAGGGCTCTGAAGGGCGGCAGAAGCTGCCCATCCACGAATGTCAAGAAACCATGCTGCTGTTGGATGACACTTAAAAAAAGTCCATCTCTAGAACATAGACCAACTCCACAATAGCTTCAAAAATATTCATGCACAGTACAGTTATCATGGATGTTCCTGATGAAAGCCCAAAGGAACATTTGAATGAATAAAGATTAAATTATGTTTGGCATTTTATTATTCAGGTGGGTTTTAACTTATCCTCATTTCGACACGAGACAAGAAGTCGGACTTCCTATCTTTTTTCTCTAACCCACTGCATCCTTAGCTATGATTTTGTATTAGCCAGATTTTCTAGGTTTCTTCTTTATTCATCTTTAAAATGTGTAGATTGAAATATCTAAACATGGAGATTTTACATTCAAATTCATCTCTATTCTTCCCAAAAACCCATCAAAATGATGACAAAGGAAGATAAGGCCAGGTGTGGTGGCTCACACCTGTAATCTTAGCACTTTGGAAGGACAAGGATAGAGGATCACTTGAGCCCAGATCTTCAAGTCTAGCCTGGACAACAAAATGAGACCCAATCTCTACAAACAAATTTAAAAATTAGCTGGGCATGATGGTGCATGCCTGTAGTCCCAGCTACTCAGAAGGCTGAGATGGGAGGATTGCTGGAGCCCAAGAGTTTGAGACTACAGTGAGCTACGATTATGCCAGTACACTCCAGCCTGGGAGACAAAGAGCACCCCAAGAAAACAAAACAGAAAAACCCCATAACAATCATTTTGAAAAATTATTTGGCATCATATACAAAACATAATTTTCTACATATCTACAAATTATACTTTAAAAAAAAAAGCTATCAACCAAATAAAATCCAAAAGAGAAAAAGCTGAAAAGTTCCAACAAAATTTTGAAAGAGAAAGAGAAGGTGGAGGACTTTTAACTGACTTAGTAAAGAAGAAGTTAAAACATAAGTGTCTTAGGTGGAGAGAGGAGTGGAATACCATTTTAAGTAAAACTGATTTTTGGGAGAGCATCTAAAGCTGAAGTTTGGGGTCAGGCATGAGCTAGAAAATGGGTGTGGAGATGTTTAAAGACTTCACAGAGAGTACTTGGAATTCCCCATTCCTTCCTATGCTGAATAACCAGTCTAATCCATATCACATCTCTACTTTCCCCATCTCTACCACCTCTTTCTAAACATATGAACTCCAGAGATGAGAAGTTTGTACTCAGGACACTAAGCATAGTAGAAAGCAGAGGAGGCCTGACAAGGTGGGTTTATGTGAAAGCAGGCCTCAACCTCTTCCCATGCTTTCTCTCAAAATGTTGCAGGCGGATGTACACAATCTCTCCAACTTTCTCCCAGTGAAAGAGATTGCAGGATTCTTCTCTAGAGAGGCCCACCATCTAGATTAGAAAAAAACAAAACAAAACAAAAAAAAAACCTCCGCATACTGCTATTTGAGAGGCCCCTACCAGAATCAAGAGTATCAGTCTAGAAGCCCTTCTACCTGTCTTAGTTCGTTTTGTGCTGTGGCAACAGAATGCCCAAAACTAAGTTCACACAAGGAACAGAGATGTCTTTCTTACCATTCTAGAAGCTGGAAAGTCCAAAGTTGAGGGCCCCACATCTGGTCTCCTTGCCTCATCATCCCATGCAGAAAGGTGGAAGGGCAAAGATAGCACACAAGATGGATGGAGGGAGAGAAGGCCAAACTCGTTCTCCTATCAGGAACTTACTCCTGTGATAACAAACTCACCCCTCTATGATAATAATATTAATTCACTCATGAGAGCAGAGCCCTCATGACCTAATCACCTCCTCTTGGGTCCCATCTCTCAACACTGTTGCATTGGGGATTTAGTTTCCCCAACACATAAACTCTTGGGCACACATTCAAATCATAGTACCACCCATCATAAAGGTACAGAGCTTCCAGTCTGGTTTCTAGCAAAATGCCCTAGAACCAAACAGTAAGAATCATCTCCGGAAATGTAGCAATAATAAAATTATAATTTTAAAAATCCAGTGGAAGGATTGGAAGATAAAATCAAGACAATCTCTCAGAAAGAAAAAGAAAGACAAACAGGAGAAAAATAACAGGAAAAAATAAGAAAAATGGAGGATAAGCTCAGGAGGTCCAACGTCAAATGAATAGGAGTTCTGAAAACATAAAACGTGAGTGTACAATAGCAAAAGAATAGTAAGGAATGCTCCTTGTTCTGAAGCTTACGTGCATCCTATCGAAGAAAAGGTCCAAGTAGTGCTGGGCACAATAAATGAAGTGGTTCTTTCCAAGACATACCATCATAATGGGTCAGAAGCCAGGGATGAGGCGAACAGTCTTAACGCTTTGAAGGAATAAGCATCATAACTATGTAGAAATCCTCCACAGTAACTCTAGAAGGTAGAAGACAGTGGAAAATGCATTCAAATTTCAAAGGGAAGATTATTTCAACCTAGATTCCTGCCCATGCTAATTAAATATCAATTGTGAGGGTGGAATTAAGAATTTTAGACAAGCAATGACTCAAAAAAATGTATTTCTGATACCCTCTTTCTTTATTATTATTATTATTATTTCTTTTTTATTTTACTTTAAGTTCTGGGGTACATGTGCAGATCATACAGAATTGTTACAAAGGTATATACTTGCCATGGTGGTTTGCTATATCCATCCCCCCCATCATCTACATTAGATATGTCTCTTCATGTTATCTTTCCCCAATTCCCCCACCCCCTGCTATCCCTCCCCTAGCTTCCCAACCCCCGCAACAGGCCCTGCTGTGTGATGTTCCCCTCCCTGTATCCATGCGTTCTTATTGTTCAACACCCAATTACGAGTGAGAACATGTTGTGTTTTCTGTTCTTGTGTCAGTTTACTGAGAATGATAGTTTCCAGCTTTATCCATGTCCCTGCAAAGGACATGAACTCATCCTTTTTATGGCTGCACAGTATTCCATGGTTTATATGTGCCACATTTTCTTTTTTTCTCTCTCTTTTATTTTACTTTTTTATTGCATTTTAGGTTTTGGGGTACATGTGTGGAACATGCAAGACATTTGCATAGGTACACACATGGCAGTGTGTTTTGCTGCCTTCCTCCCCTTCACCCACACTTGGCATTTCTCCCCAGGCTATCCCTCCCCAGCTCCCCCCCACTGTCCCTCCCCTCTTTCCCACAATAGACCACAGTGTTTGGTACTCCCTTCCCTGTGTCCACGTGTTCTCATTTTTCATCACCCACCTATGAGTGAGAATATGTGGTATTTCTTTTTCTGTTCTTGTGTCAGTTTGCTGAGAATGATGTTCTCCAGATTCATCCATGTCCCTACAAACGACATGAACTCATCATTTTTGATTGCTGCATAATATTCCATGGTGTATATGTGCCACATTTTCCCAATCCAGTCTATCATTGATGGGCATTTGGTTTGGTTCCAGGTCTTTTCTATTGTAAACAGTGCTGCAATAAACATTCATGTGCATGTGTCCTTATAGTAGAACGATTTATAGTTCTTTGGATATATACCGAGTAATGGGATTGCTGGGTCAATTGGAATTTCTATTTCTAAGGCCTTGAGGAATCGCCACACTGTCTTCCACAATGGCTGAACTAGTTTATGCTCCCACCAACAGTGTAAAAGTGTTCCTTTTTCTCCACATTCTCTCCAGCATCTGTTGTCTCCAGAATTTTTAATGATTGCCATTCTAACTGGTGTGAGATGGTATCTCAATGTGGTTTTGATTTGCATCTCTCTAATGACCAGTGATGATGAGCATTTTTTCATATGTTTGTTGGCCTCATGTATGTCTTCTTTTGTAAAGTGTCTGTTCATATTCTTTGCCCATTTTTGAATGGGCTTGTTTGATTTTTCCTGTAAATCTGTTTGATTTCTTTGTAAATTCTGGATATCAGCCCTTTGTCAGATGGGTAGACTGCAAAATTTTTTCCCATTCTGTTGGTTGCTGATTCACTCTAGTGACTGTTTCTTTTGCTTTGCAGAAGCTGTGGGGTTTGATTAGGTCCCATTTGTCTATTTTGGCTTTTGTTGCCAATGCGTTTGGTGTTCTGGTCTTGAAGTCCTTGCCTACTCCTATGTCCTGAATGGTTTGGCCTAGATATTCTTCTAGGGTTTTTATGGTGCCAGGTCTTATGTTTAAGTCTTTAATCCATCTGGAGTTAATTTTAGTGTAAGGTGTCAGGAAGGGGTCCAGTTTCTGCTTTCTGCACATGGCTAGCCAGTTTTCCCAACACCATTTATTAAACAGGGAATCCTTTCCCCAGTGCTTGTTTTTGTCAGGTTTATCAAAGATTGTATGGTTGTAGATACGTTGTGTTGCCTCCGATGCCTCTGTTTTGTTCC